TCCAACCAAGATGTTTGGAAGATCTGAAAAATGTGTACCCTGGTACCTGGTAAACTTGGCTTTAGCTAGATGTCTACGGACTGATTTTACAAGTGTGAAAGGCTTCTTGTTTTAACGGATGAAAGGACTGTCTGTGAAGCAGCAATGGTACACAACACGAAACAACTTGTTTCAATCGGCATTTTATAATACATTTGTACACAAACTCATCTTTACAAGTACAAAAGGCAAAGAACTGCCAAGGATCGATGCAACATCGTCACCATCTGCCTCCAACAGTTCACACTATCGTCCGCCTTCCCCAAACCCAGAGGGAGACTGTAAAAGCCCCCTCAGCCGGGGGCTCCCCTCTTAGAAGTTGGGGACCGCGTGTAGTTCCGCACACGTCTGGGTCTCTACAGAACTGAAGTGCGACTCCATCGTGTTCCAGGCCAGATCGGCTAGAAGGAAGTCATCCGTGGCTGTCTGCGTTTCATTGCTGGTGAAGAACAAACTCCCCAGGCTTTCAAAGCCGGAGCTCATGGTCTGCGTTTCTGTGCTGTTCAGCTGCACCTTGCCTTCCAGGGCAGCTGGGTTCTTAGCAGGGGAGATGCCTTCCGTCTGGGTTTCTGTGTCAGAAGAATCGGTACTCATGGAGAAGCTGGAGTGCTTCAGGATGCTTCCCAGGGGCAGGTGGGGATGACTGTCTAAGAAGAAGTTTAAGTCTGTTTGCGTCTGCGTGTCGAACATCTCAAGGCCTAAGAAGTTCGGATTCTCCCTACAGCTGAAGGACTGAGCAGAGGTATCGGCAAGTAAAAAGTCCGTTTGTGTCTCGATATCCAGGGATTCCAAAACTGGCTCTGGGTTCATGCTGCCAAGTTCGCTCTCTTCCGTTTGCGTTTGGATATTTGAGGCCGAGAAAAACTCTTCAATGTCAAAATCGATTCCCGGATTCTGGGTTGGGCCGGATGGGAGCTGTGCGTCAGGCCCAGTGTTCGTGTCGGACAAGAGACTACGGTTATCCAATGTCTGGGCAGGCAGGTTACTCGACAGGATGTTTTC